CAAAACCTCAAAATTGAGGAAACGGAACCATAAAATTACCAACCATGAAATTTATAAGTAGCTGATGTTGCCAAACCACTAAGGGAAAAGGACAAATAGTCTAAGCACCTGATTAATTAGATAAGAACACTCTACACTGTACTGTATTGCTTTGATTTTGAATTGTATTTCTAAGAAAATGATTAACCATGAAATCAACGTTGTTTGTACAATCTTGTTCTGTAACTTGTATAAAATCTGATGCTCTAATTTAGCAAATTACATTCAGATCATCAACCATCTCTTGTGTTGTGTCTGTTTGTCACTCACCGAATCCTTGACCACTCTCTGATCCCTTGTTTCCGTCAGACTGAGTGCTCCGGTCTGGGATGGTCCGGCATACCAGGTCAAGAAACATATGTCTGGGTAAGGTTTATCTGAGAACAATTGGTCTTTGCCCAAGATTTATCTACATGGCACACAGTAATTAAAAGTACCAGACTGGTGGAACTAACCTTCTTGGATGTTTAACAGACATACTTTGATGCCTATACTAATTTGGTCAGAGGGACATAAAGGACAGTTTTTGTTCCTTGCTCTCCTAGGTCGACTGGTTCCAGGGGACTATGAGGATCTCCCAAAATGTCCTGTTATTGTGGTAGGTCACCTGTCCTCTTGATCAAGGAGGCCGAGGAGACCCCACAAGATGGACATGAACTAGTGTCCAGTCTACAAAGAGGAGGGTCAACACAGAGGAAACATTTCATCCATGCTTCCAAGTGAAGCCAGCCACAGGAGGATGCCATCTGGGAAGTGGGTGTATATTTGAATAAGATGGTTTGGGATGGTCTGTGTTATATACACATACAGAAAACAATAAACGGATAACGGATTTAAAAATTTGTATTATATTTGAGGAGGAAGCATAAAAGTTTATGTTATGTTAATTAGTAGAGGTGATAAACATTACCATTGAAATCTACCCGATGACTTTATAGACATATACAGGCACCAAGGACCCAAGTGCAAATGATTATGACTAATAATAATCAAATACATACAGATTAGAGATGCATGCGCCAACATCTCAGTGTTAGTAGCAAAAACAATAAGTCTTTCTGTAAGAAACTATTTTTAGAATGAAATGGAGATTTTTTTGAGGGTTAAAAACTCATTTAATTTTATGGCTTACAGGGCTTATACTGAGTTCAATATTGTATAACTGTATTGTTTCAACAATGAACCTAGACATTTTATAGCCACTTTTGAAGGAGCTGTGTCTTTGCTCTGGAAACTGTTATTGGGCATGTTAAAGCTGTAATGATATGCTTCTTCTAAAAAAAGTAAAAAATAATATTAAAAATGTAGGAAGCAACATATTTTAAAATGAAATAGAGATTTTCTTTAAAGGGTAAAAACTCATTCAATTTTATGTCTTAGAGAGTTTATACTGAGTTCAATACCGTAAAACTGTATTAATTCAACTG